ATTACCAACCTCAAACATTAATGAACCTAACATATGGTGTCCCACAAGGATCCATACTTGGACCACTTTTTTCATTATATATATAAATGATCTAAACAAAGTATCCAATTTAAAGACCATAATTTTTGAAGACGACACAAACTTGTTTCATTAACATGAAAATATAAATACACTTTTTATTAATATGTACAGAGAACTTGAAAAAATTTTATTTTGGTTCAAAAAAAATATCTTTAAATATTGAAAAAACAAAATGGATACTTTTTTATCATAAATATAAAAAACAAATACTGCATTTAAATATGCCTTTATAGACATTGCCATCCTAAAAAGAGAAAAAATGACTAAATTTTTAGGAGTTTTTATTAAAGAAAATCTTGGAAACCACCCATCAATAATAATTCTAATAAAGTTGCAAAAAACATTGGAGTTTTATACAAATCTAGAGGTATTTTAAACAAAATGCAGTAATATAGCACAATTATATTACTCTTTTATTCACTGTCATATCAATTATGTAAATATTACATGAGGAAGTACACTTAAAACTAAATTTAAATCTCTTTATCGGCATCAGAAACACGCAGCTTGCATAATAAATTTTAAAAATCGTTTTTTGTATTCTGAGCCGCATTTTAAGGAAATGGACGCTTTAAATATTTATCAACTAAATGTATTTAATGTTTTGTGCTTTATGTATAAATGTAAAGAACTTATGTCCCCCTATGTTTTTGTAAACCTCTACAAAATTAAACCCCAAAACAAATATAGCTAACGTAATAATTGCATTTTATAAAAACCATTTTGCAATAATGCGGTAGTGGTGTATGGTAGAGGGCTTGCTTCATAAGTGAGAGTTTTCAAGTTCAATTCCCACCACGTTCCTGGTAGTACTGCGTTCAACTTGTTTCTCCGCGCAGCGGCCTTGTTCGTCAATGGTTCGTGTTTCGTAGTTATAGAGTTGAAAGAGGGTTGTTACCGAAAGTAGCCTCCTCATCTGTAGTGGTCATCTCGGCCTTGGGGAGGTAAATTACAAAAAAAAAAGCCTAATTTTTGCATATCTTATTGTGGGTTTTTTCTCGGGAATGAAATATACGGCCTAATTTTGTTATTTCATCTGAATTGACCTATGCCTTTTTCAATATATTATGTTAGTGATTCTACAAATATAGTGCACCTTATATTTTAAATATGTTACACCTTTATTATTTAGCACAGATGTCATAGATGTATTTGGCAAGTGAATGTGTTTAAATACTCGTGATTCTAGATATGCTCCTATTCTTGGCTAATGCAGATTTTTTGCTGTTTTCAGGTTTTTTTTGTGTCCCGTTTCTTTTTGATAACTTTTATTGGTGTAATTTGCGTATGTAAATCTTACATTTTTTTTCCATTTTCTATTTCTCTCTTTTCATTTCTTTTGCTACTTTGTTTTTTATCTTTATTTACGATTTATTTTTACTAATTCAATAAATATTAAAAAGCCACAACCAAAGGCATGTAGTTAAATTTAATCAAGAAATAGTTGTAAACAAGGTGTGAGAACGAAAAATAGCTGTAAACAAGGCGTGGGAACAAAAAATGACTGAAAACACTTGCTAAATAATAAGATTCTTAATTTAAACTCAAATTTAGCTTGTCAAAAAATAATTATAAAATAACGAATATATTCTATAAGTTATAATGGAAGAAATGTTAATAATCATTAAAACATTTCAAAAAAAACAATCACAATTTGCCAACTCCTATTTAACCAGTGTACACTTAAGCTATATAATTATGGTATCCCATGTACATAACTCTATAAAATGCACATTTAAATAAGGACCACAAAAAATACTATTTAGATGTTATCAAACGAATTTATTATCTTTTACAATACAAGATTACAGTTAATAAAACAAAAAATACAAAAAGTTACTTTCATTTGTACAATTAATTAAAATCTTAAGCAAAATTAAATTTTCACAACTTATATAATCCCAATCCATTATTAAAATACATAGCATGTATTTCAATTCTTCAAACTTTTGTATTAAGAAATAGCTTGTTAGTCGAAAAAGTTCATTGTTTAAACTTCTTCCGGCTAAGCCCGGTCTCCCCTACAGCATTTATTCAAAAAAGATAACTCTTTAAACGGAATCAAATTTCTAATATTGTATGAAAGAAAAGGATTTGTTCATAGAATGAATCTAATAGTAAATAAACGTATTTTTTTTGAATATATTGATATTTTAATGTAAAAATGCGGTCTTCCAAAACATTAGCGACTTTTTTTAGAAATTCATAATATTTTTATAATATTATGAATTTCTGTATTACCACCGAATTTTTGGGGTATTGGGGTTTTATTACACAGAAATTCGACTACGACTCAACTCAACTGAAAGTTCCCGATGGCAGTTTCAAGGTATGTAGACCTAAAGGTAAACTTTTGGGTACTAAGTTCAAAAAAGGAACGGTCAAGCATAGTGGTGGAAAACGTTTAATGGTTAGTGTTTTTCTGATTTATGTAGAGTTGAACTTATCCATCGAATAAATGGCATTGTGGATTGATTTGTTAGCCATTATATTCTTGAGGAAAATATTATATTAATATGCCTTTTTTTCGACTTTTCAACAAGACAACGACCCTAAATATGTCTAAACTCCTTAAACAACGGTTTGCAAGGAATAAAATTGTAATAATGAAGTGGCCAGCTCAATCACATAATTTCAAATCGATTGAAAATTTATGACATCATATTGATTTTTTCTTAAACACACTTGGAATAACGTTACGAAAAAAAAAAGTTATAAAGTTATCGAGTCTTTGCTAAAATCATTTGTAATTAGGATCATTTGGCATGATCCTAAAAAGTAAAGGATTGACATCAATTATTGATTTTAGTTATTAAAAAAAGTGACTAATGTTTTGGGAGATCATATTTTTACATTAAAAATTCAATACATGCAAACACGACATCCTTGTTCATTTTCATGTATTTTGTACACTTGTTTTCCTTACATTTAATATTAACAACTTGATTCCGTTTTAGAGTACTTTTTTATAACATGAAAAAATGTTGTAATCAATCACTGAAGCTGAAAAAATGAAATTTTTTATTTGGCTGCTTGTTTTTTGGAGGACAGTGTACTTTCGTTTTCTGGATGTGTGATGAAATAATTAAATGCCATTAGTTAAGTGTTTTTTTTTTTAATATGAATTAATTGCCACGATGTCAAATAATTTCTTGATTTGGTATCATTTTGGGTATTCATGAAAAAAGTTGAAAGCGTGCGTGGTTGCTCTGTCTAAAAAAGCGTTCAAAACAGCTTACTGTTTTCAAAGTAGTTTGAATAAACAAGTTGCATAAAACCAACCTCGACATCTCTAATTCTTGGATACCACAAGGGTTAAGTGAATCTTGCAAAACTAAATTGCGCAGATAATAAGAGGGAGTAGAAGTTGCACTTCTTCCTTTAATTTTAAGTCAACACGAATAAAAATGGAAATAAGAGATTGGATATATGATTGCCTCATCAGCTAAATTGGCAATTTAGAGCTGCAAGGAAGACAACTTTTTTTTAAAAATACATTAATTGTGAGAAGGGGCCAAGTGTGTGATGCCGTACATGCCTCAATCTTTTAAAAAATATTCAATTCTTGATAGCAAAAGATCTCAAAGTGGTAGAACAAATAGCATCTCGAGTTGTTGACAATAAGGAATCATTTCCTCAAGAAACTGACTTGCTAAGCCAAGAGATGGGAATCCACCATAACGGGCATCCGTGATTGTGAATTATTTATACTTAAATAGTTTTTATCCGTGAATTATTTACACTTAAAATTTAAGTTTAAATAATTCACGGATAAAAATTTGGGGTTTAATGATAAGACTAAACTTGTCTTCTTCATGTAAAAATTTTTTTTATAAGTTACGACTGTAAATTTTTTTTATTGGCAAAAAACAAACAAACAAAAAACTATATAAGTTAAATAGTTTTTAAACATATTGAAAGAAAGTCTTGACTTTCTTGAAAGTCTTAAGAGGTAAGTCTAGATAGATTAGCATGTTGTAAATATAGGAAGTATATTGTTGACAAGTTTTTACCTCGTAAAAAGCTAATAATTTGAATTCTAATTTTAACACAATCTTTCTGAACAAAGTTTATTTTGATATTTTTTTGGTATGTTTTAAAACTAGACGGCTAAGAGGCGACCCGATTTGGCATTCGAAAATATCTAAAATTATTGATGTCAAACAAAGTCGCCACACTTTTTTTTTTAAACTGTTATTTAGGTGCCTCAACAAGACCTAGCGGCTTGTCACAGAGCACCGCGGATATGCTTTAACCAGAAAGTTCACGTCTCCTTCCTTACCGTGACGCAAAAATGCATCCAAGGCTCGTTTCGAACTTGGATCTCCTGCTTATAAAGCAAGCGCTCTAACCACTGCGCCACGCCCGCAAACGATGGAGTCGTCTGTCAGCAGATGTCGTTTAATCTATTATAGTTAACAGTTTCAAATCAAACTTGCAATCGGTCGTTTTTTTTTATAAATTTAAAATCGGCTGACGCAATTTCCTGGCGCTCTATCTCAACAGCATTATTATATATTTTATGAAATCATATTTTTAAACAACGTAAAAAATCTTTTTTTATTGATTATCAGTAGACTCTGCAAAAGACATGTCAATGAATAACAAAAGGTCAGGGGGCAGGAGGGGGGGGGAAGAGGTTTTTAAACATCGCACTACCCTTCTTTCGGTTTTAAAAAAAATGCTTCAGGGTTTGTTTTTAAAAGTCGTTAAATATTGAAAACTTCACTTTTTACTCGTTTATATATTTACGCGATTACACATTAAATAAGAAAAAAAATTGAATAAATATTTATTTCCAATATAGAAAAATACATAAATAATTAAAGATAAAAATAATTCCATTTAGATTATCTATAAAAACTCCAAATAAATTAAATGCTATTTGAAATCTAAAACTTAAACATTTTGATTCGGGTAAAATTAAGGGCATTCTCGTTACAAAGTTTATTTGAATCAAATATATTGAGTTCTTTAAAAACTGATTATGTAAACAAAAAGAAAACACTTTATTCTGTGTGTTTTTTTAATCCCATATTTTATCAAAAACTTTTTTGAAAACAGACCTATAAAATATCTTTTCAATAAAATCCCTGACGAATACTAACAAGTAAAACCTAAAGATGATCTTCTATAATTACATTTTCTTTATTCTTTTCTTTAAAACATTTTTCGACTGCATCTTGCACTAAAAGTAACCTTCGGTCAAGGGCAAGTAAATGGTCGCTTGTAAGTATGGGATATATTGGATCGATCGAAAGTCTTTTATCAAGCAATACGCTTAAAGAATTTTCATTAGATGTAGCAATTTTTAGGCGATTATATGTTGACGAACGTAATCTAAAAGCACAAGACAAGAATGTTACGTCATGTTTAGACAAAAAACTAAAATCTGAAAAAATTAATATAACTGCAATAAAATTTATTATAAAACACACTTGAATACATAAGAAAAGGTGGATGACGAATCAAGACTTTTCAAAAATATATTTAAAAGGTTTGGTAGGTTTAAAAAAACAAATTGATACTTTAACTTTTAAGTGTTTAGTACATCGGTATCTTTTTTGAGTGCGAATATGAATTTAAAAGCGATTACAAAAAGATTACCAAATTCTTAAAACAATAAAGTATAAAAAAAATGGATATGATGTGTCTCCAAAGAAAAACTTCAGATGTTTTTTAAAATTGTACAATTCAGTCTGTACATTAACAGAGTTAATGTTTGCGACGATTCCCACAAAAAACTTTAAGAGTAATACTATAAGCACATGCTTCAACACAAGACAATTTAAAAATCCATCAATTCCATTCAAGCTAAATTTGTCTGATTTTAACTTTCTCTTCCCCAAAGTATGAAGAAGTTATAAATTTTACAAAGCTTAAATTTAAAGTTTAAAACGCCAAGATATTGAAAAAATTCAAATCATATCGATGAATTTTGATCTAAAAACCTAAAACAACGTAAAACGTTTAAAAAATTATTTTGCATAGGGTGTGGAAGTGAGAAAAAACTTTGGGATATCTCTGTACCTAACCTCTAATTAACGTGATAAATTTTTTTAAACATCCTCATTAGACACAGATTATAAGACTGACCAGGATGAAAATAAGTTTATAGTTTGCTACATGATCGGAAACTCTTTTAAAGTTTAACGTCCCAAACTCAAATCCTCATTTGATATATGTACTGAAGTTCCTGCAGATGATCATTTCAGTACGATGACATCAATGTTCAATAAAAAATTAAGAGCACAAATTTGTTTGAATATATATATATATATATATATATATATATATATATATATATATATATATATATATATATATATATATATATATATATATACATATTTACACTCACACACTTACCGACAACATTGAACAAGTGGAGATAGTATACTTTTCTCATCAACAAAAGGATTCCCAAAGCTAAAAAAAAAAGTGAAACTTTATTTAAAAAAAATTATTTTTGCAAATATGAGCTGCAAGGGTATATATATATATATATATATATATATATATATATATATATATATATATATATATATATATATATATATATACACATACACACACACACACACACACACACACACACACACACACACACACACACACACACACACACACACACACACACACACATATATATATATATATATATACTTATTTAAATTTATATGAACAAATTTTCTCTATGTATATGAACAAATTTTCTCTATGTACTTATACTTATAATTTTGCAATAAAAATTTTATCAAACGTTTTTGTTTGTATCTAGCAAAGTTATTGCATTACTTCATAATTAATAATGTAATATCAAAATAATATAATGTCATAATTAATAATTAATTAATAATATATCATAATTAGTTATATGTTGTAGGTACATGACATGAAAAGTTTTTAAATTTAATAAATAGCAAAAAGTTATATATCTTTAAAAAGCACTTTAATACAGTATCGTACAGTATAGGTGCATTCTTGTGTGGCAAGTTGTGTTTTTGTGGAAAATTTGTGTTTTATTCAATCTGACTGAGATATCTTCATGGGTTATTATTTTCCTGTGCAAGAAGTATCACATGAACCCTTAGGTGGACATTTAATGTTTAATGGACAACATTTAGTTACTCTACATACAGTAAAATACTTCAACCTCTGTCACATCGTCGTAATGTTGCTTCTCTTTCTCTTTTCTACTAATACTATAATGGGCACTGCTCTAAAGAGCTGGCGTCTCTTGTGCCATCTACTAAAATTCATTCTCGTGTTACTTGTCATTCAATTAAGTCTCATCCTTTTTCTGTTACTGTTCCTAAGTGCTCCAAAAACTCTTATTCGTCTAGTTTTTTTCCTGGAACATCAATTCTTTGGAATTCGCTTCCTTCATCTTGCTTTCCTGATTCATATAATTCGCAATCTCTTAAGCCGTCTGTCAATCGTTATCTTGCTCTACAATCTTCATCTTTTCTCTTCCAGTAACTTCCAAAACTAATTAGTGGTTGCTTGCAGCCTTGTTGGAAGCAAAGATGTTTAAAAAAAAAGGGGGTCTTATTTACCTTTTTTTTTCTCCAACTTAAATAATGACTCCCTGCAGCCTTATTAGGAGTGAGCATGTTTAAATAAAATTTTTTTAAAAAAATTAGAAAATAAACCTTATAATAAGCTCCGTGGAACTATATTTTTGCTGAAAAAAAAATTATAATTGTGCAGGTATGCATTGGGTAACTTTTCAGAATAAAAAATAAAAACCTCTTAGCATTATCAAGGTGAATAACCATACTGCCATTTTCATTTTCAATGTACTCATAGTGATGACGATCTGCATTACCTAATAAAAAATTTACAATTTTTTCTTAATATTAACTAAATAAATCAGTAAAAATAAAAAAAAAGCATTAAATATAATATATAAAACATACCTATTAAAAAATCAAATATAGAGGTGTCTATAAGATCCAATAATCTTGGGCCTTTTGTGTAAGGCTCCTTTATTACGACCGACTCACAATAATGAGAATCTGTTTCCCATCTAAAAATAAATTTTAGAGATAAATTTCACAGAATGAAATTAACCTAAACTTAGAGTGTTATCAAGTTTCATTCTAAATTTCGAAGATGTGAGCAAAAAGAGGTTTTAATGTAGGAGGAACGAGTTTGTTTGTTTGTGAAAACCTTGGATTTATGAAAAATTGCATGTGGTTATTTGTTAGAACTGGAAAGTATATTTACTTTACTAAAGTGCACTTAAATAAAAGGATAACAACCTGTTTACTAAAGTGCACTTAAATAAAAGAATAATAACCTGTTTACTAAAGTGCACTTAAATAAAATAATAAAATAATAAGACCTGTTTACTAAAGTGCATTTAAATAAAAGATTAAAGCACAGAGAAAAATATTCAGTTATTTAAAAAAAAATAGATACATTTATTTTGAAACTATATATTTTGAAACTATATTCTACTCAAAATGTTGTCTATGCAAAAGTGATTAATTTTTTGAAATTTTTAGATTTTATTTAATTAATTACACTTTTTTAATAATTTACATGACGTTAATTTTCTAATTTTAAACCCACATTATATTAAATACATCAAAAAAAATATACGCAACCCCTGTCAAAACAAATTTAAATTCAAAATCATATAATATAATCATATATACAAGTATAATATAATAGCAACAACAACAAAAAAACAGATTTTTTTTTCATTATGCATTCAAGTAAATTAGACAACAATAATTGAAAATAATAAAAACTCAAAAAAAATTGCGTACTTAGCCATCTTTTTATTATATGTCCTTCTCCATGGATGAGGTAATTTCAAAACAGGCCATTTTTCTGGCAGCCATAAAATAAGTGCTCCTTCCATTGTAACATTGCTTGCACATGCTGGTTCCTTTCGATTGCAATACAAACATTTACCATAAAAACATAAATTCTCATCCTTATCTAAAACAAAAAAAGTAAAACATTATCAACACTACTAAAACTCAGGGTAAAATTAAAAATTGTTTAGGAGATATGAAATGAATATGAATCAATTGAATCATATCAATTAAATGGACTAGAAATTGGTGCATGTTTTTTAATATGGATAAGTGTAAGGCTATGCATGTTGATCGGAATAAAAAACCAACATATAATTACACAATGTTAAGCCAAGACCAGCTTTGTCATCCATTAGAATGTACCAGAGTTGAGTGTGACCTTGGTATTTTAGTATCTAATGATTTGAAATTAAAATCACAAGAAGATACATCAGAGCAAAAGCAAACTGAAAACTTGGTGTGCTAAAAAAAGCAGTGTATTCCTCTGGCTAATATTATACATCTCATACATTCAACCTTCGCAATCCAAGCCACACCTTAGTAGGGCTATCAACAAATTAGAACAAATTCAACATTGTGCAACAAAATTAATAAACTCTTTCAGACACCATATATATTTTTAAAAATGATTAGAAGCAGTGGGACTAACAACACTAGAAAAGAAGAGGAAAATAGTGTGACCTTATAAAACAATTCAAAATCAATCAAAACCTTGGACAAGTAAATTTTGATGCCCCACAATGTATCCCTTTTTTCAAATCAACATCATATGATGATAAAATGGAAGCACAAGTTTATGCTTAAACTGTAACAACTCAAAAACTGTATAATGTGTTTGTGTTCCATAGAATGCTCTTTCCAGCAGCATCATCAACTCAAAGTCTGTCAATATTTTCACAGTCGCAGCATTAGGACACTCAAAATAATAGAACTATATGTATAAAACTTTTTTACATAGCAAGGCCTGGTGCTGAGCTCCGTCAAACTTTATATCATTTTTGTAAAATTTGATTACAAAATAAACTAAACTAAACAATATTATTCAAAATTTGACTTAGTTATAAATGATAAAAAAAAATTATAAAAAATTATGAGAAAAGTATATGATTTAAAACTTAATTCACGATTAAAAAGATTGCAAGCAACTACTATTTAGATTGGGAGTTAGAAAAAAACAAATTAAATCAAAAAAGAACTTAAAAAGCAAGAAATCAGTTTACAGAAGATTTTAACTCTGTTTTTGAAAATTGAGTCAGGAAACCATAGAGGCAGGAGAGTAGTAAAAACAAAGTAGATGATTAAAGTTTTGACAAAAGTGTTTTGACAATAGGTCATTTGAGCAGTAACCATGGTAGTATTTGTAAAAAAGAAAAAGTGATGTCACCTAGCAACAAAAAGACAGAGGATCAAACATGCTAGCTAGATCATATAAAGCAACATTTACAATGCAATTTTTGAGATAAAATGCCTAATTACAGGCTTTGTTTTAAATAACAAATGCTTAACGCATCAGATTAATGTGAATTTAACATCATAAAACTCTCTTTAACTTTTTATTTTTTAAAGACATCAACTTTTTCAAATTACTGCAATAATATTAAGATTACCGCAAAATAAGTTAAATATTGTTTAACTCGTTTCTTTCATTTTTTTAAATATTAAATAATTAAATTTGATATTAAATTTAAAAAAAAAATTTCACGTAAAAAATTATTTTCCTCAACATTTTTATAAATGAATTAAAATATGCTAATTTAAAAAAAACAACATATATTTGAATCCTTAAAAAAAAGTTTATAATAATTGTTGCAATTTAACTTGCCATATATAAAAAAACTAACTTACATTTTGTGCAAATTTTTGATGCAGCTATTTATTTAAAATTTAATTTTGAGTAATAAAAAAATGTTTTGGAAGGAAAACCGAAAAAACAATTGCGATAAAAATGAGCTAATTTTCTTTTAAGAACAAATTAAATTCAAATATTGAATAATATTTAGTAATATTTAAAAAAAAAAAAATGACAGTTAATTTAAACCCAAGCAGACTATAATTTAAATAAACTTAAATATATTTTTTAAATCAAAATTTAATTATATATTTTTTTTAAATCTAAATTAAATTAATTTTTTTTATCAAAATAAAATTATATATTTTTGTTAAATTAGTTTTGAATTAAATCATTTATTTTTTTATCAGAAATAAATTACATTATAATGAATTTTGCTTCAAGCTAAAAGCATTAGCATTTTTCAAGCGAAATAATCGATCATTACAAAAAATAAAAAAAAAATAAAAAAAAAAATAAATAAATAGAAATTATTTATTACTATAAAAATAGAAATATAAGTAAATTTTTTTAATGCAATCAAATATCTCACAAGATAATAAATACAAGTTTTTATTATATATATTTCTTTTATGTTTTCTTTTATTTTTTTAATAACTTCGCATAAAAAAAAAATAAATAATCGTTACTATAAAAAATTTCGTTTTCTGTTCGATAAAATAAATAGCTTAATACAGATTAAGTTTTTGTAGTTTTTAATTTTTTTCATTAGTAAATAGTGCTTACGTCTAACATAATTGTCATTCAAACTTTTTTACATAGTCGTCCAAGTGGTTTTTTATAAAATTAATTACTTCACCGCTTAATAGAGTAATTTTAAAGTTAAAAAAGATATCAAAAGTTGCTTCATGTTTTATAAACTATTTCCTTTTAGCCAATTTTTTTACTCATTTAAAAATTTTCCATCAATTCAAACTCCTCATAAGCCAGAAGAAACCAGTTCTTTATATTGTAATACGGAAAATAAAAAGATCAATTTAGTATGCCCATTATCTGAAAATATCAAAAAATACAATCGTCACTACAAAGATCACTTTTGTAAAGACAACATTTTTAGACAAAATGTTGAGTAGAATATAGTTTCAAAAATTGATCAATGGAATAAAAAAATTATGAAGGACTTCAAATCGTTAGAGAACCATTTACCCATCAATTAGTATAACCAATTAACTTCAATAAAATACTCCTAGGAAATAAAATTGTAATAATGACTGATTTGATGTTACAAGCAATGATTGATTTGATGTAGGCTACAAACACTCTTCTCCGTTTAGCCAGCGCTTTCGCGCTCAAGTCTTTTTGCACTTGCCCACATGCCCGCAAAAACTTTGGCAAGCGCATAAAAAAGTGTATTACATATAATTTACCCTGTCATTTACTTAAGTTCCATTCTGCATTAAATAAGACTTCACTACAAATAGCCAACAATAGCAACTACAAATAACCAACAACCAACTACAAAATTTTTAAACATTTTGGAAAATTTTTGAAGTATGAAAAAAGAAGATTAGTAAATCAATATAAAATAATTTTAAAACATAAAAAGATAGAAAAAACTTACCACTACCAAAAGTTAGTAAAAAAATTAAAAAAATAAATTAAATTAAATACTCGCAATAGGACAAAACAAAAAGGATTATAAAAAAAAAATACTCAAACTGATACACATACTAACCCACTAATGCAAATAAAATAAAAAAAGAAGAAAAAAAAGAAACCACTAAACCATATACTTTAGATATTACTAAACTTATGACAATAAAAACGTGAGCCTAATCAGAAAGTCAAACAAAAACTTGCAAAGTCTTAGATAAACCCTAATATTGTCATCAAATTTAAATTATACTCAGCAATTTAATATAATTAAATTGACAAACATGAATGACTACATCTTGTAACACAACCATTAGTCCTAATGTTTTTATTAAAAATTAAATAACATTAAATAATTAAATTAAATTAAGAAAAAAAAAAAAAATAGTTTAGAGACCATTGTCTAAAAAAAGATTTCAAAATTGTTTTTAAAAAATGGCAATTAATATTGTATGAAATTTTAATATTTTCAAATTTTAAGAACTTTTACGAAAGTCTAATTTCTTTTAAGAGTTTTAAGGATTTTTAAGAAGGAGTGGACAAATTAATAACTACCTTACCCTGTAAAATATAAATTTAAAAAAATGCAATTACGACACTTTCAGTATTAAAAATAACCTTTAATAAATGTAGTTGCAAGCTTTTTCGCTGCAACAGGAAGCACTTCTGCAGCCAAATTAATATATCTTCCAACCACAGGAGGAGCTCGATAAAATCCAAGCAATCTATGAATTATTTTAGTTTTAATTTTTTTAGTTTAGAAAAACAATTTTTAGATTTACAATCAAAAAACTTTTTTTCAATAATTATTAAAGATTTATTACCTAAGCTAATAATTAAAATTACCTGAGCTAATTAAAATTAGAATCAAAATGGAGACATTGAGGATTAGTTAAAATTGTGAGGTATTAACAGGACGGTCCAAAATTATGTCCCTTTTTTTATATATTCAAGCAGCACCATTACAAAACCATGACAAAAACCAATAAAAAAGTTTGAGTAACTCTAACTTTGCAATCAATGAACATAAACTTAGAAATGAAAATAATGAAAATGAACTAACTAATGAAATAACTGCATTTTTTCACTAACAAATAAAAAAAATTTAACGATACCGCTTTGCTTTTAAGTTGGTGATCAGAGATGATGGATTGACTGGTTTCTGCATTATTTTCTTATGTTTAAAATTTTTGATGACACACAGTATCCAACCAATTGCTTTATTTGATTATGACAAATAGATCGAAAAACCTACACAGTAGAAAGCAACCAGCTACTGAAAAAAACAACAGAAGATTGCCAATTAACATAAGATAAAAACAATAGATGGATCCGTTACATCAAATCTATTCAATCGCCTGCTGACACTGTTAATCCAAAAAAAGATAAAACTATAAAACATATCAACCTTCACTGTTATGAATAACCGCAACACTAGACAAGACATTCAAAACAAGCCAAACAAATTGATGACTTCAATTAACACAAACATCCACGCCAAAAAAATACATAGTATAAAAACAAACTCTTATCTCAAAATTTTTCAGTTTTGAGATAAGAGTTTGTGTGTTCATAATAAGTGAAATCTAATAAACAAAGCGTTGAGGAGGGGCTCTTTATAAGGGTGGGTGGGAATATTTTCCAAAAATTATTAAATGCACAAAATGAATTCTTTGTTTGAGTTACATTTTTCTCAATTGCCCAGTAAAAGTGTGATAAAGCCAACATCATTTTTTATAATGGCAGATTTTTGTAGGTTCAGAGTAAACTTGCCCAGTAAAAGTGTGATAAAGATTAAATTTTAAGATATATTTATTTATAAATATTTTATAAATATTTTATAATGTTATATTGGATTTTTTGATTCAAAATATGAACGTGTATATACTTTCATCTTTCCATTGCACACAAAATAGAAATAAAGGCTAACACCATTTTTTTAATGGCAGATTTTTGTTGGTTCAAAGTTAAAATAGTTATATCTTTGAAATTGGTTGGGATGAAAAAAATCTAAGAATGTTCATAACTTATTAATCAAAAATTTTTGAGTGGTGTCAAAATCAGCAAAATCTGAAACTTAGAGTTGTATGCCCTGGATGTTTTAACATAGAATCGCCCTCCTCCTAAAAAGAAAATTGAAATTCTTTTGTAACTGGTTGAGACTTGGTCAAAAATTAATCCCCATTGATTATAAAAGTATTCAAAGCAAGGTATTTGGAGTCATTTGCACAGACAAACAACACATAGAAAACTACAATATTTTTTAGAAAGTATTAATAAAAATTTTAAAAGATTCAGATGGACCATCTATATTCATGTATGGATATTATTCATGTTAACAGATTTGAAAAAAAAAAAAAAAAATCCATAAAGAATATCACAATCTAGCCAGATGATGATTTAATATGAGTATAGTAAAACATTTTACTAAAGTTTTTAAAAAAAAAAACAAAAAAACTTGCGCTTAAGTGTTTATTTCAAGTTAGTAAATCACCTCGATTGACCTAATGTTAAATATAAATATTTCATCTATCAATATTGAATATTTGTGTTAAAAATAATTTTTTTATTTTTAAACTAAATAATTTATAAACTGAAAATCTTGGAATCCAGAAATAAAAATAAAAAATTCTACTAAATTTAATATTTTAAAATCATTATATTTGTTTAGAATTTAATAATATTAATTTGTTTAGAATTCAATAGTAGTTTAACTCATAAATAAAATAAACAAAATACCATTCATTTTATATTTTAAATAAATCTTTAAAAAATGGGTTTCCACCCTACATTTAAGATAATTGCATGATTTTGAATACTTGCTACTTTTTACTAAAACCGCATAGAATTTCTTATTGTTACATACAATTTTTACATGCATTTTTTTTGCATGCTTTTGAAAGCTTTTAATGTATAGTACATGGATTTATAATTTTATAATAAAACATTGGATTTTTTTTTTTACATCATATCAAATATTAGTAAGAAACCTAAAGCTGATTTCTACAGAATTTATTTAAACTTAATTAAAAATATTAGAAGCATTATCAATAAAACAGTATATTGTATATATATATATATATATAGATTTGCTATTAAATTACTTGTTATTAACAAATTTACCTACTTGAATAAGTTAACCTCTTACTGTAAAACTTTTTTTTTTTTTTTTTTTTAATTAAATAACCATTGATCTTTAACTTTATCACACAGAGACTCTTTAGTTGAAGAAATCTTATTTAGCTAGAAAGCTGAGCAAAGTTGTTTTTTTTAATATTGTAGCAACATACATAGTTAAATTAGATAATGCACTTGTTGTACCAGGAACAAAAATTTTTTGGATGAAAGAAACTGAACATATTTTAAAAGTGTGACATGAAAAGGTATTCTTGTTAATATGATAATAAGAAACTGAACATACTTTAAAAGTGTGACATGAAAAGGTATTCTTGTTAATATGATAATAAAAAACTGAACATACTTTAAAAGCGTGACATGAAAAGGTATTCTTGTTAATATGATGCAGAGAAAGTATAAAACTCTTTGCACTAAGTTGATCTATTGATAGAACAGATCACCATTAAATCACAAAGTCACAATCATCAATAAGAAGAGAGCCACAGTATGACATTCTTATTTTTCCTTTTTTGTCTGACCAATACTACAGATATCCATCATACTGTTTATTTACTTAGCTGTTGTCTTATTAAACTTGTAAGTATTTTTGTAATACCAGATTTCAGGATACTTTGAACATAAGGAGCAATGGAAAACTTTTACTGTATTTGATATTTAATTTTTGATTACAGTTTAATTACACTTATCCGTCAAACCCCCCACTCACCCCCAGGTTATATAGGCTTATATTAAAAAATATGCATCGCCTATAAAAAATCCTGCATCCGCCCCTGTACAATAGATATTTAAGAGTTATGTTTGTTATTATTTAATTTTTTCTGGCATTTTTAAACTCATCATAAGTGTTGTGTCTAGTTTAAAGGTAAATTTAAAATAAAAATTTGTTTTTAACATCACTTAATTCAAATGATTGGCTTATATAAATACAAAAAAAAACTAAATGACTTTAAAAAACTCTACATTTTTAAAAATTTAATCTGAAAAGCCATTTGTGTTACTATTACATGACTATTTAAGCTAAGTGAGAACCCTAAGAAGCAACCATCATGTTAAAAAGTGAAAATACTAAATATTTTACATTTTGAATAAATCTTAAAAAATGATGTAAAGTAAAAAAATAAAAATTGTTAGGTTCGAAACATATTTCTGTGATAGAAACATCATAGGTAAGAACCCAATGATCACAGTGACTGGTTTGATATTGCCACACATTTTCAACTTATTCTTTGACAATCAATGCAGATTTCATAAGCTTGCTTTATATGGTGTATTGAAAAAGCTTTTGGAGATTATTAAATCATTTTTTCTTAACCGCAGTATTCATATCATATCTATTTCTGATAACTTCAGGGGTACTACAAGGTTCTACCTTTGGTCCTGTATTGTTCCTAATCTACATAAATGATCTTTCTGAAAAGTTTACATTTAAAGTATCTCTTATTACTCAAATTTATTCTCCACTCTCGACAAAAACTTTATACTCTAGTCTCTTAAAAATACAAAGTATTTATAAATATATAACATTTACGTTAATTTGAAAAAGTTGATCAAAAAGGCAAACAAAGTTCTCATCAAAGTAATACTTTGTTCTCTACAATGTTTGAAACTTCAACAAGAAAAATTATCTTTCTTTTTACTATAAAATTATCTAGAAATTTTATAGATTGAAACATGTAATGTGTATATATGTATATATAGTGGTGTAGTGGTAGAGTGCTTGCCTCATAAGCCAAAGGTTTCAAGTTTGATTTGACACAGCAGCCTTGTTTGTCAAGATTTGTGTTTTGGAGTTATAGAGTTGAGAGAGGGTTATAACCACAGTTAAGTAACCTCCTCATCTTTAGTGGCATTATTAGCCTTAGGAAGGTGAATTAACATTAATATATATATATATATATATATATATATATATATATATATATATATATATATATATATATATATATATATATATACTAAAATCTCTGACAATTTTGGTAGTTAAATCATTTTTTCTGGTTAAGGTTGTGAGTAATATGTCTTTAGCTGTTATGATATTGATATGTCACATGTCAATAGAACTGATTTTTGATGGGTAATTTTATTACTTTTCAATTAACCTATATTACTTAACAAACATTTAATATATATAAGAGGTTTTAAATAGTTTAGCTCCTAACAATATTTTAGAATTTAATACCGCACAAATTTAATTTTTATAGAATTTCGCTTTTTTTGAATACCATGTTGACATAAATTTGAATACATTTTTTTCAGATATTAGGGGTACATTAAATATTCAAGGGTCAGTGGAAACCCTTAAAAATATTTTTTATTTGAAACATTTTTAAAACTAGTGTGTTATATTAATGTGATAGGTACAACTATCAGAATTAGGAAAAATGAGATCAGCAATATTTTGTTTGTTTCTCTTAGTGGTCAGTATCAAGTCATCAAAAAAAAATTTGATACAAAGGCTTTACCATAAAATATACAAACAAGGTCGTCAATTTTTGGCCGACCTCAAACACTTTAGGTCAGCAGTTAGGTCAACATTGCTGAACGCTGACCCTAATTCCGAGGGCTATGTGTGTGTGTGTGTATATATATATATACATATATATATATATATATATATATATATATATATATATATATATATATATATATATATATATATATATATATATATATATATATATTATTTATATCAATATATTTACGCATACATATAAGTATTATATTATACTATATATACTTTTTGTATTTTGTTATAGACTAATACAATTATAACTCTTTTGAGCCAATATAATTAATTTGGTTATTCATTACACAGTGTTATTTTATTTTATAGAACAGATATAGCAGAAATATATATTTTAAAGTAGTTTACAGCCTACACTAATATATATTATATAAAAATTACACAAACTACAATAAACATGTCAAAAAGATTTTTTTTAATTAAAATGTACCTGTCTAAATGAAAAGCTGCAATTTCAGCATTGTGTCTGTCATAACCTTCATAAGGAGTGCCTAATATAATCTTGTTACGTGAATACCTTGAGGAAAATCAATTAAAGTGTTAAAATCTAATTTTAAATAACAAAATTTTCAATATTATGTGCTTTTTAAGTCAAATAGTTATGAAATCTACCTTTTAGGCTTGAAAACAACATTTTGTATCTGTGGGCCATCCAAAGAAAACATTGCTTTTAATTGTGTACCTTTATACCCTGTAGTTGCTTGTGTTATTTTTGCAGAACTCATTGCTTTTAAAACTTTATAAATTTCAACATCAGAATCAACAGTTAGAGCACGCACTGATATCATATCATGCCAAACATCCCAAGCATGAATGTTAAAATACTCTTTTTCTTCATTAGGGCTATTTAATTTATGTAAAGCATCATAAATTAGTTCTCTTTTTTGAATTTCATCTTTAACATCATCAATAATTTCTACTGGACTTCTTTGCTTTGTTTCTAATTTACTGTTATAAAAAAATAATAAAAACAAAACACCCAAAATCAAAACAATTGCAACTCGATCTTTCAACTTCATGCCTCCAACATTGTTAATTTATGTTTAAATCTAAAACTAAGAAAGTGCATACCAATGATATTTTTAGTAATTTTGCCAATACCATAACATATACTGGCAAAATATGTATGCATGTAATATACCATATTGGTTATATGGTATATTACAACAAAGGTTTCAGGCATTATTAATTGCATATTATTATTCTTAGTGTTATTGATATAAGTATTATTATCAATATAATTAAAGCCTAATACTACGATCATGTATAGTTTGAAGTATAGTTTCATGTAAAGTTTTACAAGTATGTATAGTTTTACATATACGATGCAATATAACTATTTCAAAGATATTTACATGTTCTTTATAATTTGAGTTTACTTCAACTTGTTACAAACCCCTCCAACTGATGATGTGGGAAGTTGAATAAAAAGTTATATGGCATAGGCGATGTATATAACAAATATATATATATATATATATATATATATATATATATATATATATATATATATATATATATATATATATATATATATATATATATATATATATATATATATATATATATATATATATATATATATAAAGAAGTTATATAGCTTATACGATTCAATATTACTATTTCATAATTATTTACATTTTCTTTAAAAATTAGTGTTTACATTAACTGGTTATAGACCCCTCCGACTTGTAATTCGGTTATAAGTGCAATGGGTGGCGGGGCGAAGCGAATTATAACTGACGGATATTTTTTTTTAACGTTGTTAATCGAGTTTTATCAGAAAGAAAAAAAAAGAAATGGCTATTCCAATTATGACAAATTATTTATTTTTATTTTTTTGTCTTATAACAAAAAGCGAAAGGCCCGCTTTCTCTCAAAAGTCCTAAACCAGATGAAGTTTATGTCGTCTAATTGAATAATGGAAAAGGTTAAAAACAAAACAATTTTCAAACTCAGGGCCGTAGGAACAAAAATTATATTGGGGGGGGGGGGGGGGCAGTACTATCTCGAAATAGTTTTAAGGACCATATTTTTTTTTATTATATTCATTTTCAGGGGCAAATGCCCCTGCTGTACCCCCTCCCCGGTTGCTACGGGCCTGATACTTAAAAATCTTAAGTGAAGTAAATTTTAAATCAAGACCTGTCTCTCTAGCAAACTTATATGATCTATCTCTGATTTATAATATATCACATAATACTAATGGTGTTATTATGTGGTACTCATTGTTTATTTACATTATTATTCTAATATTTAGATCAGCGAATATTTTTACGACCTCTTTTCTGTAATTTGAAAGTTTTTAAGAATTTAAATTACAGAAAAGAGGTCGTGAAAGAGCATTTAAGGTGGTACACCCCGATTCTAAAAAATTTCTTTAAAATAATCTTTACAAAATTAAAACTACATTACACAAGTTTAAAAAAGTATGCTGATTATTTTTTTTAAAATGAAATCTCGATTGCCCAACTTTTGCCTCACTTATTCCATAAGAATTGCCAAAATATGGGTGTAATTTAAAACAAGATATCTCCAGTTCTATATATCCTTTCACTCTGAAATTTTCACATAATGTTCCTAAAAGGTACAAAGAGGTTATGAACCAAAATCATGCATTAAAGATGCATAGAACATTTTAAAAGTAATTTTCTATAAATTTAAGAAAATTTTTAACAAAAAAAAAGAAAAAAAGATTTTAAACATACTTATACATGATATTTATTTGTAATTTTGGTTCATTACCTAAGTCAGTTTATAACAAAAGCACCCTGAAAATTTCAAGTCAGCATACGGTCCCAAACTGAAAATATTGCGTTTTTAAAATTGAGGTATTTGGTAAAAATGACTTTTTGAGAAAAACACAAAAAACAAAATAAAAGTTCGTTATATTAGGAAAAGAAGTACAAGCTCAATTAAAAACATCCACTATTATATTGTGGGTCCTTTTCCAGTTCTTTTTTAATATCTATGTAACCTTTTTTGATGGCTCTAAGCTGTTTTTTCCTTAATTCACCTTTAGCACTTGATTTGTAATTCATTTTTTTAATTCGGATGAGGTCCAATTTACAAAGTCCTTCTTGCATAAACATACTTGGTTCAATACCTCCAGCACTAATTACTTTTTCAACTGCTGTGCTTCCATCATTAAATGCTATAATAGCTGAGTTCATACTTATCTCAAGAACTTTTTTCCCAACAAAAAAATCTTTAGGACATCTTTTCCATATTAAGGCATTCAGACTTTCATTGTTATTTTGAGTTTGTCCGTGCAAACATTTTGAAAACAATGTTTCATTTGTCAAATCTGTATATATAGGCATAAGTACTGCTTTAATTGCTAATGGTAAGCTTAATTTGGTTTTGTATGTTGTTTCACCAGTTACTTTATTACTCTGCCACAAACACCAACTAGTTCTAGTTCGTGGGCAAAATTTGTGTCTCTCTGACTCTTCACTTATGTCACTGTTGTGAAATAAAACAGCCCAAGCAGCTTTTTTCATTGCATAAAAGTTATTCACATTTTGACGGATAGCCATACCAAAATAATTTTGAAGCGTATGGCTTTATGGCTTTATCTGTCAGACGACCTTTTCTATTTATTCTTTTTCCATCTGAAAGAAACTGACCTTTAAGTGTAACTCTAAGGTTACGTGCACGATTTCCAAGTCTTTTTTGGATATGTCCAACACAATAAAGTCTGTTTATTTCAAAACCTGGATATGGATTACTTGCAACAACATCATTATATGCTGAGCTGTCACCGTCTCCAATATATCCTTCATATCTCAAACTATGTTTTTCAATTGACCGTTGAAAAATTGAAACATCACCAGAAGCTTCCATGGATCCTGATGATTTATTGTGGTTAGCTTCACAAACATGATTTATTTTCCAGTTTTGATAACCTGGTGTTGTTTTTGTTTTGTTCCAATAACTACAAGCTTTGCAGAACTTAGTTAACAAAATTGAATCAATACATTTTCCATTCTCTCTTGATATTGCAGAGACAATACCATTTAAAGATTGACCTCTCATTTGCCAGGTATCATCAACAGTAACTTGGCAAGCAGAAACATCATTAACATTGCTTGAATTAGAAATAATATCTTTGGTTTCATTGGCAGCACTTGACATACTTGCAGAAGCAACTTCATTATAAATATTTAACAAATTGTTATCAATTGCACAATAATTTTTAAAATTCATAGGAGATGGCATGTTCATTACTGCAGCAAATTTGCATATAGATTGATAACCTTTACCAATTTCACAAAAAGCAGTAACAACTTGAAAATTAACTGATGCAGTAGGAACACCTGGAGTACTTTTATATTTTTTAGTTGAAAACTGAAACGTGTGCCATCCTTTTTTAAATGGCACTGTAAAGTTAAATAAAAACAAAAACCTTTCTTGCTTTTTAAGTAATTTTCCAAACAAACTTCATTTCCACATTTAGGGCATTTAAACTAGGGATGTACCGAAGCTGAAATTTTGCCGAAGCCGAAGCTTCGGCACTATATATGCTTAAAATTTAATCAGCATTCAGATCAGCAGGGGTGTAAAACAAAAAAGGTACCAAAACAAAGGTCCTTGACTAATAATATAAAAAAATTGTATAAAAATGAGGACGCCAGTCAGGGTTGCTGTTCCAGGCAGGGCAAAAGCTCTCAGCGCCCCTGTTTAAAAGTTTCTCATTATGTCGTTTCTGATACTTGACCGCATCGAGCGTTTTTTTTTTAAACTTAAGCTTTTTTGAAACATTCTCCCCAAATTTTCCTACTTCTAGTTCTACTTTTTCTGTGTGCAAACCATATTAATGTTATATAGCATTTTTTCATGTGCTGTATATTTTATTTTTATTTTTAATGCACCATTTGTTAAATAGAAGTGGATAAAAATTTCTCTGAACATTACTAGAGTAAAATTATCTTTTGCACTTGATCACTCTTTCTTTAAATAAACACTCTTAACTGATCTAGTTGTATCTACAACATAAAAAATCTTAGAAACACACTTTATCTTTTTATTGCTATTTATTTCAATATCTTTTTTTACTTCTCTGTATTCTTTAAACGAACAATTTCTAAACTAAAAAAAACCCAAGTTAAGACTATTTTGGATTCCACTACAACTGTTGTGCTCCTGCTGTTAAAAAAAAGTACAAATGATAGATTTCTCTCTAACTTCTTTTTTACACACTTTTAAGTATTTTTTTTTTTATTATTTTCAACTTTATACTTTGAAATCTTAGTATTCATTCTTCTTCTGTCTCTATAATGGATAAATCTGCATTAGTATCTGAAATCAAATATTAACTATCTGTGATAAAAACTTCCAAATTAATGTAACAACTCTGTAGAGTGAGCTTTAAATAAAATAATAAATAGAATACTTTATAAATTTTTTATTAATAATTATATTATTATTTACTTTATATTTATAAATAAACAGGGACTGAGCAGGCTGATATTTATTTGATTTAAATTGTTTATTTAATTTAAATAAATTTTGATGATAAATATAAGAGTTCAAAGTAATCAAAGCTTCAACCTTTAATTTATTTTAAATAAAATTTAAAAGTCTTCATAATATCATAAGAAGAAACCAGAATATTGGTTTATATGTTTAATATATAAATTCAATTTAGAAGTATTCATAATATTAATAAAAGAGCAAGGATAGTTATTATCATTGTTTTTCTTTTTCTTTTAATTTATCTAGTTTTTGTTGGCTTTTTTTTTTCTTTTTTTATTCTCCTCGTTTATATTTCATTTGCTTTTCTTCCTTTTTTGTTGTTGAGAACTTTTTGTATTTTATGTGTCACTCCATTGACTATTTTGTATCTATATAAGTGACACCTAACAAATTTCTGTAAATTTACGATGAAAATTTGTAAATTTTTATTAATATGGTTAAATAAAATTTTAAAAAATTAAACATACACACAATTTAAAATAGTAGCAACGTATCGTTAATCTTCTTTAAAGAGAGATTACTAAGGTTTATCGGTCAAATGTTGAAACCAAATTTTGTTCTATTTGCGGTAATCCCACACAATAATTA